AAATTGACCTAGAACTGCTCATATAAATGAGTTTAAGTTGCTATTCTCATGGGGAAAATGGCTGTCTAATGGAATTCTTTATTTGATTTCAATCTTGTTTTGACATACAGAAAATTCCTAGTATATTTTGAGATACCAAGGGGAAATAGAAGGCAGGTAAACTTACTGCAGATGCTCTGAGGAAGAGTTTTCATTTAATTTTGATACTGTTGACCCAGATTCTCTGTCCAACTTTATATTAAACTGAAAACTCTGAAAGAATAGTTGAGAGTGAAAAGGACCTTTTTTGGTTACCTGGTTCAACCTCCCTCCTCAAGCAGGTCACCTACATCTGGTTGCTCAGGACTGTGTCCAGCTAGCTTTTGCATTCTTCTGAGGCTGAAAGCCTCTCTGGGCAACCCATGCCAGTATTCAGTCACTCACCCTCTCTGGGCAACTCATGCCAGTGTTAGTCACCCTCGGGGTGAAAAAGTGTTTCTTCATGTTCAGCTGGAATCTCCTGTTTGAGTCCATAGCCTCTTTCTTGTCACTGGGCAGTACTGCCAAGTACCTGGCTCCATCTGCTTTACAGCACCTTCCTTTCAGGTACTACTCCACACTGATGCGATTCCTCCAAGCCTTCTCAAGTGCACATCAATGAGCTGTGTTGAGCTTCTCATCCACCAACATTCCCAAGTCTTTCTCCTCAGGGCTGCTCTCAAGCTATTCTTCACACAGCCTGTATTTGTGCTTCACCCAGCCTGTATATTTGTGCTTGTCCAGAACCTGGCACCTGGCTTTGCTGAATATCATGAGGTTTGCATGGAGCCTCTTGTTGAGCCTGCCAAGGTCCCTCTGGGTGACATCCCTTCCCTCCAGTGTGTCGACCCCACCACTCAGCTTGGTATTGTCAGCAAACTGTCTGAGAGTGCACTAAAATTCCACTGTCCATGTCAGAGACAAAGACATTAGAAAGTGCCAGTCCTAACACCAGCCCCTGAGGAACACCTCTTGTAATTGCTCTCCACTTGGACATGAAGCCATTTGACCACAACTCTTTGAGTGCAACCATGCAGCCAATTCCTTATCCATTCAGTGGTACATCCATCGTATCCATGCCTCTCCAGTTTAGAGACAAGGAAGTTGTGTGGGACATTATCAAATGCTTTGCATGAGTGCAGGTAGCTGACACCAGTTGCTCTTCCCTTATCAACCAGCCATGACTGAGAACTATGCTTGGTCAAGTAGGGGAACTATTAGAGTTGAAGAGTAGATAGGAAAGTATCTATAGAAAGGTCTACCTTCTTCCATCATACCTTCTTCATCAGTCATAACCTGAGCTGCTCTAAAATATTTTGCAATAATCTGAATAGTGTAAAAGCTGAACCTTTAAAGTGACAAACTGTCAGCTCTCAAAGGCAGAGGGAAACTATCCAGGTAAACGAGGGGTCGTTTTTCCTTTAAGTGCAGTTAAAGAATGCCAGCTGCCCATCAGAAAATCAGATTGTCAGACTTGCATGGTACTCAGTTTTTACTTTCACTGAAAGTAAAGGCAGTGATCACCTAAGGAAAAGTGAATATATTTTAAGCATGTTAAATCAGGAAGAAACCAAAAGAAGTCTACTTAAAGGGTCAGGTTTGTTTGTGCTGTAAATGACACCGAAGATGCTAATCTCTGGTTCTTGGCTCCCAGAAGATTATGATTTTTGGATTCAAGCAAAAAATATTGAAGCCAAACGTAGTTGTCCTGGACTTTTAATTCATTTAGTTTATGAATCATTTCCCCAACATCTACAGCACTGATGAATGAAAAGTTAGGTGTGCTCACTTCTAGGGCAACTCTGTACAGTGTATGCAACCCCAAGGAATACTGTATCAGTGTGCCCTACGGACTTCTCTCATAGAAATTTCTACTGATTCCTTCTGCAAGTCAAAACCTGACTGAGCTTCTCACTCCTCACACAGTGACAGCACAGCAAGGTCTGGAGTATTGATTAGAATTAAACTAGCACCTTCTGGCATTTAGTGCTTTGAGTAATTTCTTCCTGTTTGGTTTTCATGGGTGCCAAATTCAGCTTTGATTTTCTTGGTTCAAACCAGCAAATTACCAAATAAAGGTATTTTCTACTCTTTCTCAATAAATGGAAGGTGCATACATACAACCAGGGGAGTCAGACACTACTTACAGAAACCTACTGTGCTTTGTATAAGGAATGAATCTAGTGGACTTGATCATCCAGGCAGAAAGCGCTAGTCTTCAAAAGCACAGCTTGAGAACACCAGCTGAAAATTTTATCTTACTGTCTTCTGTGCTGCAGTGACTCTTCTCTGTATATTAAGTATTAATTCCTAGGAATTATGTGTATGTGTGTGCCTACATTTTCCTGGTTAACAGATCTTCAGAGAGGCACTAACATTCTTCAAGATTAGTTTCACAAGGAAAAACATGAAACTATGTTTTCCAGCAATCTCTACATAGAGTAGCAAATTCTGTATAAGGATGGTAGACACAGAATGGTACTGTGTTCTCCTCAGAACTTCAGTGCTCCCACTTCTTTCAGGTAAGGTAAGCTGATTTATGTCTCTCAGGTTGGCAGTGTACATGCCAGTGGTGTTTATTCTTGTAACAGTAGCTACTGTGTATATCAATAGTACACAATACCCTGCTAATGCAAACTTATCAAGAGCTAAGAACAACTGCTGTAGCAAGTTCTCTCAATAAGGATTATTCAGCTGGCACATGTTTTACTTCAGAGGGCTTTTTGGTATTTACTACAGAGCATGTAAATGTAATCCAATTGTGGTAAAGATTCATAAACTAACCAAAGGTTTCAAATTGCATGTTTGCTTCACATCACTTTGAAAAGTATTTTCTTTCCCAGAATCCTACTTTGAATGTAAAATGCTACCCCAACACAGACAAGGTATCTATTTATAACCAAATGTTTGTGTGCAATGGTCAAATCCAAGAAAAAAAAAAAAAAAAAAAAAAAAAGGAATTGAATGTTTATTTTAGTCTTGATTTTCTTCCAATACCTTGTGCAATTTATCCTGAAATTCTAATTATATCCCCCTATATAAACACTGCAAATATGAAAACTGAAAGGAAGCATATTTACTAGAGCTTTTTGCCTCCTTTTTCCAAAGTAAAGAAATGCTTGTGGTCCAATTACTTAATGAAAAGAATTCAGTGTGTCAGCGATCATCCCAACAAAGAAAACATGTCCATTTACAGTACTGTTTAACTATTTCTATAGTTGCTGACCACATTAAATGGGTATTTGAATGGAAACATGCCAGATGAATAAAAACAACCTTCACAGGTGCCAAACATTAGCTCTTTCTACAAAATTAGTTAAATGTGTGCAAAATTACATGCACCTACTATAACTGCTGACCTCTCAGGCAACTCTATAGTCTATATCTGATGTGATTTTGTTTAAGAGAGCAATGCCAGAAAAATACACCAGGAGTTATTATCAGCCCAACATGTCATCCTCCGAGCTTATATTGAACTATAGCAAAATATATGTCTTATAGCTCAGGAACTGTAACACTGCAAAATGGGATGCCAAAATTGGTGTTTATTCATGAGAGAATCCACAGTTTGAGCTGAAAAGTAATGTTAGCTGGACAAACCTCATAATAACCAGAAGCCTGGTGATTCCACAGCCTTTTCATAGTTGCAGAATAAAACTGAAGAAAAGTTAATTTTAGGAAGTTGCCCATTGCAAATCTCAGTTGAAGGAGGGTGCCTGGGATTTGCAGTAGTGAATTAGAGCTTTGATTCTTCTGGTTGCCTACAGTGATCTGGACTTGACATCTCTGAGAAAGGAGCAACAAAGCTTGTAATTAATAGAAGTTGGCTCAAAATTCTTGGCCTAAGTTCTAAACCATGAGGATTCCATGTCCCATGATCCTTCCCTATTGTCTATTTCAACTATGCATAACTTTGTTGTCCTTATTTAAAGCCCCCTCTATTTGAAAACCAAATTTAAAACCCGGCTCAATGGTAGTTGTTGTGGGACATTCCGCTGGCTAAATACAAATACCACAAAGAAATATGCATGTTATAAAATGCAATGTCTTAACTTTGAGTTTGAAAAACTTATTGGCACCCCGAAAGCTCTACAAGAACTTGGTTATGTTATCCCAGACCACCATTTTTAAATTTTCTTTGCAAAATAGTAGGATTCTTTGCATATAAGCTATTAAAATCACCTACATGATTTTTTTCACCTTATGCTTGTGTTGTAATGTGTATTTTTTATACAGACTGAATGAAAAACTAAATTGGAGATCAACATGTCACAAAAAAGAAAAACCTAAACACCACATAAGCACCTCTTACCTCTATCAATTCAAACAGCCACAGATAACCCATCAATGGTCCACAGTCCAGGACATACCAGATTAAAAACCTTTCTACAAACATAGAAAGGGGAAGGAAACAAAATTGCTAGAGAGACAGTGAGAGTTCTGCTGCTGGAGTGTGTCAAATAACCATGCTCCATTCAGCTCACCCTTACCTCTGCACATTTATACCCCACTGCTCCTCTCCACATGCCAGCACCAGAACTATGCCAGCTATCTGGAGAATGATAGGCTAAAACATCTAAACATTGGTAGGGTAGCTACTAGATGAGGGTATTATCTGGCTTTTTTTTTCTTATGCAAGTAAGTTAAAAATTACAATTTTGTTGCCTTTATAAAGGACAACCAGGGACCTGGTTCAGATGGCAGCACGGCAGCCTGGTCTCGGCCGGGCTGCTCGGGCTAATCAACACACGCATACACCAATATGGCAGACGGTTGAAAAGGCGTTTATTATCTTATCTCGTGGGTTTAAATAGTTTTGGGGCTTTTTGCTACGTCAGAGGGGGGTTGGGGGTCTTAGGGGTTAGTTGGGTAGTGGAAATTTACCAGGGCAGGTGTGGCTGCATTCTTCTGAGGCTCCTGGGGTCAAAAGATAGCGTGGGGGAGAGAGAGAGAGGGAGGGGTCTATCTTTCCGTCACATCCCGAGATCTTCCGTTTGCCTGTCCCTCACCTACCACAAATTTAGACTTATCCATGTTTATTTCAGAGGTCAGAAAACTTACCCATTTCCTCCATGTTTGCCATTTCCCATGCTACCACAGCCAAAACTTTTACCCTACTTGGGTGCAGTTCTCTAACTCATACAAGTCCATACAAGTAAATAGGACCCATCTGAGAGTCCAGGGAGAGCAGGCTGGCATCATCATGAGGCGGCTGCTTATTGTCCTTGAAAGGTTGTGAAGACTGGAGTGGTTTCCAAAAATTTCAGAAAAATAAATCTTTCAGCCAGAAGGACAACTCAAGGAACCTCTATGGATGTCACTCTCATTTCTAACCCTGGGCAAATGAGATGAAGGCCTCTTAGAAGCCCTCTAACCTGAAACATCTATTATTTCCATTTAACTCTGCAGCTTCCTTGAGAAATCTAAATGCAGCAGTTTGTTAATGTACCAGTTTTTATCAAAGAACATTGCTTTCTTTGGCTGTGTGCACAACCTGCTACTCTTTCCATCTTCTGAGCAATAAAGTCATGACATTTTCACCAAAGCATCCACCAGAGTCTGGCCTGAGAAATTTAATCCCTCTCACCCCAAGCAGGCTGTGTTTCTTTTTCTCCGTACAACACGCACTGGCCACAAGAGCTGCAAAGCCTATGGCTTTAGCACATTGCCCCCAAATCAATGACTACAGGGAGATGAAAAGAATGAGCTTCTGACTGCTCCAATCAAGAGCCTTATTTCCACCTTTTAAACAACATCTCTGTCTATCAGCACAGTGCAGACAGAAGAGCAGAGAGACTATATTTAAATCAATGAAAACCTTTTTTATAATTGAATTTATCAAAAGTGAAACTATATACAGGAAGAACTATATACATAAAGAAACAAGTCTCTGCGCTGCCTATTGGCCAGGATCCATCTCACTCTGTCCTGAGAAGAGAAGAACTCATATATAAATGGGATGGTATAGGTCTGGAGTGAGGTCCATTCTGCAGGTTGGGCACCTGCCGAGAATCTCCAGGGCAACAGGGAGGCACTCGCTGCAGAAGACATGGCCACATAGGGTTGTCACAATCAGTCGTCCACTTTGCATAATCTGGAAGAATGAAAATCACAACATGTATTGGGAGGAAAGAATTTGAGTTTGCTGCTCAACTGGCAGCAGGCAAATGACACTTTGAGCATCTGGAATCAAACGAACAAGAGACTCTCAGATCTGCCAGTGTCACTTCACCAAGAAGTGACTCATGGAGCTCCACAGCAAGGGCTGTGCTTCCAGCCAGCTGCCCACAGCATCCCACATCCCACAGCATCCCAGTCTTGTGCAGCTCCCCTTCTGGCTTTCTCCTCCCACATAGCAGAAAGGATCACAATAGGTGGATCCTTACCTCTGAGTAAGAATCCATGCAAATTGGACACCTAATGACACCTCCTTGCTGTGCACTGGAGGAAACAGAACTAGAAAGAACATGCAGCTGTTAATATAACCACACTTCAACATTTATTGATCCATAAAATCTCACATATTCATACAACTGCACTGACTAGCCATGACACATTTCCTTTGAAGAACCCTGCTGTCTTTAAGTCTCTGTTTGCTGCATTTAATGAGCATATGGGGGGTCTCCCTGCCCCGAGGGAAAGTGTGTCCTGGTTTTCACTAGGAGAAAGGTGCAGTCAGTCACCTTGCTCTGGGATTTGATGCAAGTAATCCCCATTCTTTGCCATACCCTCACACTCATCTCTAAGGTTCTGTGCAAAATTGTACATCTGCCTTGGGCTGCCTTTTTCTCCCAAAATGCAAATGGTATCATGTGATCATCATGCAACATGGGAGAAGGAGGGAAATACATAGAGTATGGGAAGGCCTCAAAGATAAACCAGGCATACCTGTATAACTTAGTCCTATACAGAAAACAAAACAAAGGGCACAAAATTTCATGTTTGTTAGGGCATGAGCCATACATACTCTGAAAGTGCAGCTCCCTCCTCTGCTGCTCCCTGTTCTGCAGGGGCTGAGTCAGCCACAGGTGCATCATTAGCTCCCGTTCCATTAGCAGAGGCATCCACCTGTTCCTGGCTGTTCAGGGTGGCCCTTCTCCTTTGCTGTTGATAAACTGTAAGTTTCATAAGTTATATCAGATACAAAATGTAGAATATGTGTAAGATTTCTGAAGGAAGGATGATCTTTGTATTGCTATATTTGAGCATTCTACACTTTCAAACCAAATCACCTGGAAGGGAGATTTATTCCATTCAATAAACAGCAACTAACAAACAAGCTCAAACTGATGCCCAGGTGGCAGAAAAGCAAATTCCTTGTTGGTAGAATTGGCTTGTAAAGGTTCAGGGCTTGAAATGCTTGAAGGAGCTCAGATTTGGGGAAGGGTCAACAAAGCTTGGGGAGAAGGATGCCCACTGAGAGTGGACACAAAAAATGCAGAATTGAGGGGCCAAAAGGACATCTGGCACAACTCCCAAGATAAGGAAGAAACTGAGAAACCCAACTCTTCTGAAAGCAGCTCTGACCGGTAGAAAATTCCTGCAGGGGGAGATTGCAGCCCCCAACTCATGGAGCAGCAACTCAAGAAATTTCCCCAGCCCAAAAGAAGAGGGAGACCGAGCAATAAAGACAGAACACGAGCTAAGGAGATAACCATGTCACTTGTAATGCTAATTTCTTTCTTTGTTAAAATCTATAAATAATAGAAGTTATTTTGATAGTGGGTGTGTCTGATTTGTGAAATACCACTGAGCACCCAGACTGGTGACACACTGAAATAAACAACCAGTGTCTCTCTCAAGTGCATGATTATTTACCTGTCACACCCCAGTAACAAATCCAATTTTTGTGGACAACATATTGACCAAATCACAGGGAGAACCATTCTTAATGGCCTGCTCTGTAACAGCAGAAGGGTCAAGAAATGCTTTTTAACTCTCAGAAACCGCAGGCAGCGATGACCTCTGCAACTCCAGTGCCCATGTAACACTAATCAATCACCAATCAATCAAAACTGCAGAAAGTGTTACCAAATTAAAGTTCCTTCTGCATAAGTACTCAGCTACAACTTTTATTGCAGGGATTTCCCACTGTGACTGACAGAGGCCACCACACACACATTGCATCCGTTCTCTAAGACACTGGCCAGAGGCTTTAGCCCTGTCCCTTGCCTTTTGCTAAAAGCAGTTTCAATCCCTGCTGCTCGACTTTCTTGGGAAAGTACAACAAAACTAACTATCACATTTTAGATAAAAGTCCATTACCAACCGTAAAACATCATCTCACCTTCAACAAGCTTCCATCGATGCACATGGGAAGGGAGAGAAAAGAAGATACAATTAGATTTGGGGAGCCCCCCTGGTGCTGCACACAAACCCCAGCTCAGAAAGCAGTTACAGCAGAGGAGGGGAGCAAGGCTAGGCTGTCACCCTCTAAGTTTGCCTAAGAGCATCAAAGCAGTAGCACAAAGAGCCGCTGCCCTGAAAAGCAAAGAAGTGGGTGCTGCTGATTCTGCTCTCATTGCTGCAACAGGGGACAAACAGAGGCAGCATAGGAACCCCCTGAACACCCTCCTCCCTTGTTCCTGTTCCCTATTTGGATTTGACCTGGCGCTGTTTATTTCCCTCATTCTCCCAAAACTGGCAAGTTCTGCTATGATAACCTTGACACTTCCTGTTAGATGAACAGCTGCTAAAGAAAGGACGCCACCACAGAAATTTGGGAGTAATTAATTCTATCAGTCAATGCTAGAACTACAAGGTACACACAGATCTGCCAGCGCCATTCTGGCAAGGGCTTCTTCCTCTATGGACACCACCAGGGAGGGACTTGGAGGGATGGGCAAGCTGGAGTTTCCCAGCAAGGGCTGTTCTTCCAGACAGCTGCCCATAGCACCCATCTAGAACAACTGAGTTGTTCTAGAGCTCCCCTATTGTCCCTTTCCCTCCCACTAATCTGAAAGGACAACAACAGGTGGATCCTTACCTGTGAGTAACAACTCATGCAAATCACGCAGAGGAGACTAGTAGAGGGCCTTGTGTTATAGAGAACAGATGCAGAAAGAACATGCAGCCATTAATTGCACCATGCATGACAGGTTATTGATACAGAAATGCCAGAAAGTAAAACATCCCTTCTTCTGATTTAGCAACATCCCAGCCCCATTTCAATTACTTTCATATACTTCAGCCTCTTCAGTGTTACTACAGTGTTACAGAAAGATACATTCCATTAGGATTTCATGAACAGAAAAGAAAAGCCATAAAGCTTGGCAGAAACCGGTTTTCTACCATATATCAGAAATTAGACTTTGAAGAGACACTTTATCTGTCACATACCTTTCAATATCTTGTGGTTCCTCTTCATTCTCATCTGCCAGTACTTCAGCTGCATTCTCTGCTGCTCTGGAATCAAGTGGGTCTTGCTGGCTCTGCTCCCAGAATGGGGTAAAAATGGAGACAGATTAGGAGGTGCCTGAATCTTCCTGAACAGCCTGCTTTCCTGTATCAGTTCCCTAAGTGGATTTGGCATGGAGTCTTTTCTTTCCCTCTTTCTCCCCCAAAAGGCTCAATCATTAGTCTAAAGATTTTGTCTTAGATGGACAGATGCTAAACAACAGAAACCACAACAGGAATTTGCAGCACAGAATTCCAGTTTGCTGCTCTATTGGCACCAGGCAAACTGGACTTGGACTATGTGCGGCCTGTCACTCAATGCTAGAACTACAAGGAACACACAGATCTGCCAGTGCCATCCTGGCAAGGGCTTCTCCCTCTATGGACACCATCAAGGAAGGGCTTGGAGGGATGGGCAGGTTGGAGCTTCTCAGCAAGGGCTGTGGATCCTCACCTCTGCATTGTCATCCTCACAAGTTGAAGGACTCAGGAGACATGTCATCCATGCACTAGAGGGAGAAGAACCAGAAGAACATGCAGCTGTCAAATTCACGGAGCACAGAGGGCTTCCACGACATAAAATTGCAAAAATAGAAATAACCCCTCATTCTGATTTGGCAACATCCCAACCCAGAAACACAGTCAGTGCAAGAGCTTTTATGTACTGCAAGCACGGCAGTGTATCTCAATGCATAATGTAAGAAAAAGTCAGTAATGACTTCCTGATTGGAAAAGAAAGGTTCCTCCGGGATTTTGCGGGTTTTTAGAGCTTTCTTTCCGTTACTTCTCTTCCGGACAAGTCACTACGTGTCAAGTAAGAATTCTCCAAGCTGAATCAAGTAGAACTCAAAAGTTTGGCAAAAACCTGATTCTACCATGTATCAGAAATTACACTTTGGAGAGACACTTCATCAGTCACATACTCATCATTATCACTTGGTTCCTCTTCACTGTCACTTGCCCGAAGCTCAGCTGAATTCTCGGTGTCGCTGGGGCCAAGTGAGTGCTGCTGGCTCTGCCCCTTGTCCTGCACCTGTGAGTTATCACCCTCCCTCACTGGAGGACCAGAAGGACCTGCTGGCCATGCACTAAAAGAGAGCAGAACCAAAAGAACATGCAGCCTTTTAAACATGAGATAAAAATTTCACTGGACATCAAGGGTTACTAACAGAGAAAACACCTGTACTTAAAACATCCCCTCTTCTGATTAAGAAATATCCCAGCCCAGAAACACAATCATTCCAAGAATTTCTGTGGATGGGGTATCCAGCCATCCTCTTCCATTGGATGTTAGATGGACAGCTCCTAAGAAGCTAAGGCTTCACAAACAGAGAAGAAAGGCTTCTGCTGGATTTTGCTGGGCTTATTTTAAGTCTCTTCCAGGCAGGCCACTAGATGCCAGCTCTGAAGTATTTGCACAGAGTTAGGCAGAACCCAAAAGCTTGGCAAAAACATCTTTTGACCACTTATCTGAAATTAGAGTTTTGATAGACACTTTCGCTCTCACATACCCATCATCTTCTCCAGGTTCCTCTTCATCGTTCTTTGCCAGTGGCTCGGCTGAATTCTC